TGTCCATGTTTCGTCTGTAGCACTAAGAGGACAATTTTCATAAACAAACACACAGGTGGTGTAAATGGTAAATGAAAAAGGGGGCGGTTGTGGCTCAGTTGGTAGAGTCGTCTCTCCTGCAGCAGCATGTCCGATGTGTCCTTGGGCAAGACACTTAACCCTGAATTGACTAATACCAACTGAGCCACAGCCGCTTCTGTGTGTAGTGTTTTTATTTGTAAAGAGCAACAGACATTTGAAGGATTTTTGACACAATAATCCCTTAATGACCATGGTTTCTATTGAATTGAGCAACGTTTTTGTAAAGCTTCACAATCTGTTTTTAAATCCATTTGAATTTGTATTTTTTAGAAGAAGGCATCTCGGGACTCCACTCAATATCTCATGACCCCCTAGGGGGTCCCGACCCCCGCTTTGGGTACCACTTGTAGACAATAACTCTGTAACTTCTTCAAAATTATTGATAGAAAAAATTAGCATCACTTTGTGTATCCAAACAAATTAGTAAAACAACATTAAAAACATGTTGGTATGGTTTTTTGATAACTCATGCATGAAAGGTTTTTACCTGTTTGTCCTGGGAGGTAGATCGGTTTATCCGTTTGGACGAATGTCATTGGTTCGTAGGTTCTGATCATGACTTTCCTGACTTCTTTTGAGTAAAACTTTGCCCCTCGGAGCTCCACCTCAAAATCTGCCACCTCATCTTTCAGCCCTGATGGAACCTGTGTGGGAAGAAGAGCTCTATTAGATATTTAAAAAACTCATGACGACAAAACTGCAGTGAACCTAATTATTTTATAGACTCTGTTGAAAACCTTGAGTAATAGTATTCAAGCTGCTCTTATTTCATTTTCTCTTTTCCTTTGTTTCCAACATAAAATGAAAACAGCAGAAACAATGAATGACATCATACTTAATATAAAGATTACATTTATAACCCATCTGTTCTGAAAGGGTGTAAGATGAAAATGAAGTACCTCTTATTCTTTTAAAGTTACATCGATTGAGTAATTGTGAAAGCAGTTCAAAAATAAGAATAAAAAACTGACAAAGCAACAATAATGCAACAAAGACAGTAATCAATAACAGCAGACACTACGTGGTCGGTTCAGACAGAACAAATGATATTATTTCAGATTAACCCTTTGTTCTCACATTCTATATCTGCTAAATGTTTTGAGGATGAACACCCTTTGTCGGGACACCATTAAGCTTCATATTGATGCTCATGACTTGTGATAGAGTTGGGTTTTTAGTGGCTCCATTGATCCAATGTTTAATCGTTAAACAAAGATGAGAAAGTGAAAACAGCCAAAGAGCAGCATTTAGACGTTTTTCCTAATTGGACAATACAACTTTTATAGTAATAGAAACTGTTATTACAATATTGAAAATTTGGATTACAACTGTTTTGATTACAAAACACCTATATGACCTGGATGGCTTTTTGAATTTAGGTTTTCACTGGCTTTAACACTCTCAATGGACTTTTAGGAAATAAACAAAGTTTGTCAAACTCCATCTTTATAGCTGACCTGGAACTTAAAGACGTTGTGAAACTCCAGACTGGATATCTTGTGCAAGAGTGTCAGAGTTGCTTGCTTGGTCCTCAAAGTGATCGTCATGACCATATTCCTGCTAGGCTTCATGAGACTCACGCTGAAGCGAGATTCAGCCCCAGCCTCGACAACTGCAGGTATGGCTACCATGTAATGTCTACACAAAGAAACACATACATCACAAAAAAAAAGTAAATAATCCTGTATTCTCCTCTATTTGATTTCCATTATGTCAATCATTTATAAATATCAAGTTAACATAAGTGGGTGAATCATAAGGATGATGCAGCACCAAAAAAAAAAATAACATACATACAAACTGATTGATTACACACAAAAAGAAAACCATGATAGAAATTCTTTGATTTGCTGCAGGTAAACTTACGGAGCTGCCAGAGCGACGCACATCCAGGTCATCAAGACACAAAGTGTCCACATCTGAGTCCCAGGACGATCCATGACTGACTGCAATGAGCCTCAGACTGGACATCACTTATAAACCCCTGCCTATGCCCTGCTCTATTTGTTTACCTCCTCTATTTGTTTTTCATATGTCAATCATTTATAAATATCAAGTTAATACAGCGTTTGAGGCTAACAGAAATAAACCCTCTTAACCAGCTTGATCAGGCAAGTTTCAAAGCTCAATGACTCATGAATCATCATACACACTTTTAAAATGGTTAGATTAAACTAACAACAACAACAAAAAAAAAAAAATCTGAATTGTTTGTTGTAAGGTTAAATCCTGATGAATACAACCCTACACATGCAGTACACATATAATCCACTAGAGAGCAGGCTGCACATCAAATCAAATGATATCTAGACCTGTTTTGATACCACAGTATTACTAATAGAAGTCCAAGGCGCCCAATATTGGGTCATTTTCTGTTTCAATTATAAACATTTACAGGCAAACTCCTGTACACTGTCTTAATTGCACAAAAACGTTTCCAGTAGAGTTGTGTGGAAATTGTTGATGGATTCATTCGTCTCCTATGATGAAGCGGATGTTGTTGTTTTTTTTTTAAAGATTTATTTTGGTCTTTTTGTGCCTTTATTGGAGAGATAGGACAGTGGATAGAGTCAGAAATCAGGGAGAGAGCGAGGGGGGAATGACACGTGGGAAAGGGGCCACAGGTTGGATTTGAACCTTAGCCGCCTGCTTTGAGGACCACAGCCTCCATACATGGGGCACGCGCACTAACCACTGCGCCACCAGCGCCCCGCAGATGTTGTTTTTTAAAGGTTTGGTACGTCTTGACACTGATCATTCAAATCAAAGAGATCTTAACGTTTTAAAACACGTGGTATCAAAAAATTGTCTAAGTACTTGATCAATAAAATACAATGTGATACAAAGTGCTTAGATTTACTGTATCTTTCTTAAATGATGCATGAGGTGGCTAAACAATGAAATAACTGACCAAAAGGTTCTTCACAAGTTGTCACATATAATATTAAATGACGAGACTCTCAGTGACATTAGCTTTAAATCCTTAAAACTCTGTATTTTATATTCTAGAGTGATTTAATGGTGTTCATATTTCTGGGATTTTCATTTTGTATTAAATTATGTTAAAGGAGTTTTGGTGGTGACATTTGAAAGTTGGAGTAGTGAAAAAATTCTATGCTATATTTTTTAAACTGAATACACAAACTTTACTCAAAGTTGCGGACCCCCCACCATAACTTCTCGCATTGCATTTTATCTTCAAACAGTGATACAGGGACCACATTTCCCTCTGAGGACAGATTGTGTATAGAGTTATGAACATAACTCTGAATATGTACACTTATTTAACTTTCACATTTCTCTAATAACTCCATAGTGCACCGTTAGAGTGGATATTTATTTTTCTTTTCTTTGTTTCAGACATATTCATATAATTATAAATATTATCATGTGTGTTTTATTTATCAGTTATGAGTAAACATCAATTCAATTCAATTCAATTTATTTTTGTATAGCGTCAACTCATAACAAGTGTTATCTCAAGACACTTTACAAAAAGCAGGTAAAATACCTTACTCTTTGTCTGTTAACATTACATAAGAGCAGGTAAAAAGACCTTACTCATTGTTATGTTATAAAAAGCAGGTAAAATACCTTACTTATTGCTATATTACAAAGACCCGGCCTATCCATCATGAGCACTTTAGCAAAGCAGCAAAAGTTACAGTGGTAAGAAAAAAACTGCCTTATTAAAAGGCAGAAATCTTCGGCCAGATCCCAAAAGGGATAGGGGGAGAGATGGGATAAGATGCAGGAAGAGGGATAGGGAGCAAGGGGGTGGGGGGAGGCAGACTGTCCATCAACAATCCGGTGGTGGGGGGGGGGGTTGTTCTGGCAGGCCGTCAACCAACAAGGTCCTGTGAAGTTTCCTTAATCCCCCTCCACCTCTCCACTTCTTACGGTAAAGGAGAAAACAAAGATTACACAAACATTGAGTGAAATTATTGTATGTGTGTTAGCTATGGTTTGAGAGAGAAAAGAAAGCAGGACAAATCAGTGTTGCAGTAATTCAGTTCTGTGTTTTTGCACTTGACCCAGCATGGGACAGTTGACCTCTATGCAAACACACTGTAGAGTAAATGTTAGTGGGCTGATAAGACCATCAGGGCTCTCTTCAAAATATTGTCACAGGTCACAATACAGTAAGTGGTACATTTGCTGATAGTGCTACTTACAGGTCAAACAACAATCCCAACGATTCTCCAAAGATTTCATATGAATTTTGTCTGATAGGGATGATGAATTTTTAAACCAGTAAAAATTCAGAAAATGAAGCTCTCATTGTGTTCCAGTATAAAACACAGCATGAACATGTGTAGTCATATTCTCCCTACTAGAACTGTTAAATGTGATGATTTGAGAAACATTAAACCCTCATATTTTATTTAAAAGACAACATGTCAACTATTGAAAATGAGAAATGTCATTGATTTTAGGAGAGGATATGCACATGTGAACAACAACAAAAACAAGAACCAAAAACTGAAGCATACAGGTTACTTTGGATCTGGCCATCGATCTTATCGTGTTGCATTTGTTCCGATCCAGGGCTCTGCAAAGCTCTGCCCAAGCATCTTTAATGTGAGAATCACATCAATCAGAATCAGAATCAACAGTCATTATGTAATTGTATCCTCACTGATAGTACTCTCTCCTCATCTTTATCTGTTTCCTGGGTGATACACCTGAAGGAGCTACTTGAGGACCTGCAGTTCTGAGTGCATTATTATTAGCTTTATTTCTAATTCCTGGAGCTTCCTGCTTGCTTTCTTTCCTGAGAAAGGCATATTGGATTAATAACGTCCATACAACCATTTTCTATACCACAAGGCTTTTTAGAAAAATGGAGTAAAAATTCACCTGATCCTTAAAAATCATCACAGTGAAACAGCATGTTTTCCGGCAAGTCCTCCATTCACTTTTGTTTTAGGTATCCAGAAGAGTTACATTATCAGAATATTACTGATACAAGTTGAAGACTGCATTTGGCTTGAGGCTGGCTGCCTAAACCGAGTGGCTACATTCGATGTTCAAAAATGAAGCCAGTGCGAAAGTTCAAATTCAGTTCTGCAGTTTGTCCAGTGTCCACTAGAGGCTGGCACCAGGAGTCCCAGAAGTCACATACACACCCATTCTAAAAAGCCTGTTTTTACAGCAGAAATGAACATGTTTACAGCCTGCTTCAAAAAATCTAAATAGGTCTGATTAGCTCATGTCTCGATTGGCCCACGCTGTATAGGGGATGAACTCTAGCGGTGAGGCTGTTTGTCAGGAGGACTTGAACCCGCCTCAGTTCCACTTCTTAGCATGTCATTAGGTTGAGTGAAAGTTAGGTTGAGACAGCATTTCCAGCATAGCGACCGCCATCGACTGTCCTCCAAACCCCCTGCAGTAAATAATAGGTGGTGTCACTTAGGCATTGGTTAAAATTCTACTTGGGGTAATTTTTGAATAACTTTATGAAAATTATTCATGAAGTGGCATAATTAGAGGCGTGGCTAAGTTGTAGTAGGCGTCGTAATGCAACTGTCCATGTCGCTGCTGGGATACCCAACGACACAGATGTGGATGGCAGCGCATATTTTAAAGGTCCCATATTCTGCTTTTTCTGGTTTTATTTGCTCTTTAGTGTGTTTTCCATGTGTCCTGTGCATGTTTAGGCACATCTATGTGAAAAAATTCAAAGTCCGCGGAAACGCAGCTTCTCCTACGTCCTCCTGTTAGCTTTAGCATTAGCTGCATGTAACGCTCGGTTCTAGCCCCCCTCGATAAAAATTGGTCAGTGCAACGTCATTGTCAGTGTGAGATCACTGATCTAAGTCCATTGGCTCGTTGTGGCAAGCCCTGCAGCTCAAGTTGCACGCCCGTTAACTTCTGTAGCACGCCCACGATATGCCATAGCCTGCCTTAGCACAGTAGTGCTAAGGTGCTAATGTTTTTGCTCCCCTCAGATGGAGCCAGTGGCTGCATTCCCAATATGGTAAAAGAGGCAGGACATTTCTGAGAACCGTGTTGAGCAACTGACCAATAACGACAGAGCAGATCGGCAGACCAATCAGAGCAGACTTGGCCCACGTGGGGTCTAACAGTGTGGGCTCAACAGAGTGTAGCTGACGGACTCAGAGCGTAGAGGGAGCAAGAGGAGCAGTACATGAAAACAGACACTTTTTTCAAACTTTATCTATTGTGAACGTACAAAAGTAGGTACATAGATTAAATATATGAACCCCAAAAAGGGCAGAATATGGGATCTTTAACAGCTTTTCTTCCTTATAATGTCAAAATCACCCACAAGAAGAAAACTGTGAGTTACTGTTGAGGAAACAACCAGAAACCTTGTGGGGTGCTGGTTTGTTTGAAAAGACTTTAAGACAGCTAGTGACCAATGGAGGCCGCCTGTGCCACTCTACCTCTAAGCTCCACCTCTTTACTAGTTTCTAAATTGATCAAACGTTAGATATCATTAGGATTTAATGTTCCTCGTCAGTAAAACAATGATTGACGTCACTGAGACTACATGCATGTTCTATACAGTCTATGGTTTTAACATTAAAGATAAAAATGTTTTCACTTATTTTACATGTAAAGATAAAAAAAAAACTGCACACTCATTTCATACTCTTTATTGTATTGGCATCATTTCATATTCATTAGGCAGAAGTTCTTAGGTCAACGTCCTCTTTTAAGTTTGAATTAAAATGTTATTTTGAGTCTCTTGTGTTAGTAAACAAACATCCATACCAATAAATTCAATTTTTTCAGATTTTTTTTCTAAATGAGTCTGTCCGTGTGTCTGTGGAACTATTATTAATATTATTATTATTGTTATTATAAGTAGTAGTAGTAGCAGTAGTATAGTAGTGGTAGTATTTTGACAATTTCCCTTGTACCTATATCTTTTTTGTTGACTGATATGTCTGATTGTTTGTTCATTTCTAGAATTCAATTTAG